AATCTGATACTGAAGCAAAGCCATTGTTAATCACTAGTAAGCAGTTCAATATTTTCAATGATGGAGTGTATTAACCTCTTGGAATGGGATAGGACATGTACCCATGGCCAAGGGGTTAATTCATCCATAAATTTAATGCAAGTAAAATGTCAGTTCTAATACAATGTAGCTTCCCAAAAATTCTGTAAGTCTCTTACTATATAACTAAACAGTTTCAGTATAAAAGTGTATAAGACTATATAAACACATCAGATGAATAAACAGTAAAATCAGTGTTTACATAAGAACTATGATGACAACCATTATAACAGCTCACTTTTAAATACAATTCTATAAATACACATACATAAAAAAGTAAACATACAAGCATGTCTATGATCACTACACAACTTACCATATCTACAAGGGCAATGTACAAAAACATGCCAGCAGCTAAGGCAAATATAGCTGTTGAATTCTGGGTAAATTCCCCAAGGACTATTCCCAGAATGAGACCCAAATAACAGGTTGTTGCAGAAAGAAAGTTGTATGCAACTGCTTGCTTCATGGTCATACCCGCATTCAGGAGGACTGCAAAGTCACCTGTTGAAAAATTGTTTTTAGTCAAGTTATTATATATACAAGACACAAAGGCATCATTTACTGGGTAATAATAACTTAGTCTGACCCTACTTAAAACTGAAACCACATGATATAATCAACATGATATTGAAATGCAAGATAATTCACACAGTAAAGAAAAAATTCAGAAAACACACCTAGTTCATGCGGCAATTCTTCACACATCACAGCCAGGCTTATTGATATACCAGTCAATATGGACTCTGAGAACGCAGCTCCAATTGACACTCCATCAATAAAGTTATGGAATCCATCCCCAAATATGATCATCCAAGCCACAGTCTTAATGACCGAGTCCTTCCCTTGTCGGAACTCTAAATTGTGATTGTGGCCTTGTGTATTGGGACGCTGTGGAGAAAAGAGACCGTGAAAACATGCATTCTTTTTACATTGCCATACACTGAAAGGTTCACAATAGCTGCCAATTTATAATTATATAGGTATGTGAATACTCAAGTGAAGCTGAAGATTGCTAGGAAGTCAGTCCATTTCTTATAACATACTATAGGAAAGATAGCTCTTTATATCACTCAACACCCTAGATGATAGTAATTATTTTAACACTTCTATCATTCTAACCAAAAACAACAAACAGTAGAAGAGAAAAAGGAAATTAAAAATAAATAAACCAGAAATCCCTTACACTCTACTAACCTCTTTATGACCAAAGGAAGCCTTTATTGCCTGCTCCTGAGATGCATAAATGAGTTCAACATCTCTTGAACTACAAACTTTTGATGGAGGGATTGCATCTGTGCTCTCAAAGCTCTCAGATTTCACTGGTCCAGAAGGCTTGTGGTTTTTCAAGTCTCCGTTCTTCACGCTGTTACTCTGAAGTTCGCATCCTCCATTTTCGCAGAGGATGACTTGGTCTGATGCTGAGATTGGAAATTTATTTTGTTCTTCCTATAAAAAGATGTTGATAACAGAAATTACTGTTTTGATTGGCAAGATATTTTTGTGAAAAAGTAAATAAAATAAATAAATGAAAACATCAAGAAATTCCATCATGCATTCTGACACATAAGAACCTATCAGAAATCTGCAAATCTCCACGAACACTTTTCACCCATACCTTTAAAGCTTGGTGCGTCACTGTTATCTTAATGATACGTTCCACCATGAAAAATCCCCAGATGCCTAACAAGACGAAGAGTGATATGAAGAGGTAGCTGTGGTGTCCATCATCTCTGGCATTTATTTCGAAGGCCTGAAAAAAGAAAAATTTATTATTGCTAAAGCTCAAGGAATACCAAACTTATTTCTCTTTTAATACTTTCTATCAATACAATCCTGGATAAATGACTTTATGGAAGGAGACAGAAAGTCACATAATCAAAAGTTCTATACAGGTGTCACCTTTAACCCCTTTGCCCCGGATTTATGCTCTGTCCCGTGCAGTTTTTGGTGAATGTTGTTACATACAGATGGCTCTGTATGTGCTCATCCGGCAAGGAGTCTACCAGTAGGCCCTAGTTACCGATCCTGATTTTCCCATTCCTTGAATTGGCGGGAAAATGTCTTATTCTTATTAAAACCATTGCTATCGATGTTATGATGTTATGATTATTAAAATGTCCTTAAAGTATCTTAGACTATGAAATGATACAAAAGACCCTTTCCTAAAGTGAAGGAAAAGGGTAAACAAGTGAGATAGGTAGTTCTGATAAACTGGCTACTTGGTGATTAAGAGCTTGTATTACAGTGGGCATGGCATGTATTCTTGCGACATGGGGCAAATGGGTTAAAGGACAATAACTTTCTGAAATCTGTAATAGAAAAATAAAATCCCCCAAGAAAATGTTTCCAAATAAATCAAAGGTCATCAAATTTTACTATACTGCTAATAATACATATTCTTAATAATCAAGTGATCAATTTCTGCACTTTCAATTTCTTTCCAAACATTACAACTGCAGGAAAAATGAGGTATCCAGAGGTAGTGGAGCAATCTTTACCAAAATGATGTCTTTACAGTGGCGTAGATAGAGGGGGGTCAGGGGTGGCGGAAAACCCCCCTCTAGAGCTAAACTGCCATTTTGTCGGCAAATTGCTAATCTTGTTGGAAAATAATCACAAAGAAACGAAAAGGCTTATTAAATTTTGGTCAGAAAATCTGTATTTTTCGCCCCCCCTATAAAATTTCCTATCTATGCCACTGTGTCTTTAGTAATATTCAACTTTCTTTTCAGATATCATGAACCTCTTTATCTACTGTACTTATACTACCCACCAGGCCTCAAATGTCAAAATAATCAATATTGCGCTGTAAAAAAAAAGAAGAAAAAAAATAATTATCAACAGTCACCTTCATCCCTCTAAGCCATATGCTCATGAACACCAATCATACAAAGAATAGTTTTGTAATTAGTCAACTTGTAAATCAAAAGTATTCCTTACACTTTCTTTATAAGAAAGAAAGAAAGAAAAAGAAAAAAAAAACTTTGAGCCCCATTCCATCAATTCACTCTGCAATAGAAATTTAGAATAATGGCAAACTACCAACAAATTATTGTAAAACATGCCAAGAAAGGATACCAGCTTCACGTTTGGTATACACCAATGACAGTAAATCTTGAAGCAAATCTTGAAGCAAGTGTACATACACTGGATAAGCTGTTTAACATTAACAGCAAATGTGGAGGAGGAGGAAGAGAAGAGAGGAATGAGGAAGAGAAGAAAGGAGTGAGGAAGAATGAGGAGTAACAAGTAAGGAGGGAAGAGGGAAATGGGGGGATGGAGAGGAGAAGGGGGAGAAGGGGGAGGAGGGGGGGAGGTAGAGGAGGAGGAGGAGGAGGAGGAGGAGGAGGAGGAGGAGGAGGAGGAGGAGGAGGAGGAGGAGGAAGAGGAGGAGGAGGGGGAGGAAGAGGAGGGGGGAGGAGGAGGAGGAAGAGGGGGGAGGAGGAGGAGGAAGAGGGGGGAGGAGGAGGAGGAAGAGGGGGGAGGAGGAGGAGGAAGAGGGGGGAGGAGGAGGAGGAGGAGGAGGAGGAGGAGGAGGAGGAGGAGGAGGAGGAGGAGGAGGAAATGGTAGAGGAGGAGGAGGAGATGAAGGAGGAGGAAGAGAAGAGAGGAGCGAGGAGGAATGAGGACTTTCTCCTCTTCCTATTTCTCTTTTCTATTCCTTCCCCCCTCCTCCATCTCATCTGTTTCTCTTACATTAATGACAGATGGATCAGAGGAAAAAAAAACACCTTTTTATATATTTTTAATCAATCATATAAAATTAGAGGAGGAAAAGAAAAACAAAGAGATAAAATAATCGGGAGAAAAGAAGAAGAAGAAGAAGAAGAAGAAGAAGAAGAAGAAGAGGAGGAAGAGGTGATGGAAGAGAAGGAGGCGGAGGAAGTGTGGAGGGGTGAAGAAGTGGACAATGAAGAGGAGGAAGATGAGGAAGAGGAGGAGGAGGAGGAGGAGGAGGAGGAGGAGGAGGAGGAGGAGGAGGAGGAGGAGGAGGGAGGAGGAGAAGGAGGAGGAGGAGAATGAAGAAGAGGAGGAGGAGAATGAAGAAGAGGAGGAGGAGGATGAAGAGAAGGAGGAGGTGGAGGAGGTGGAGGAGGAGGAAGTGAAAGATGAAGAGGAGGAGGAGGAGGAGGAGAAGGTGAAGAGGAGGAGAAGGTGAAGAAGAGGAGGGAGACAGGTGAAGAAGAGGAGGAGGAGGAGGAGGAGGAGGAGGAGGAGGAGGAGGAGGAGGAGGAGGAGTGAGGAGGAAGAGGAGGAGGAGTAGGGATGGAGTGAGGAGGAGGAGAAGGGGGAGAAGGAGAAGGAGGATGAGGAGGAGGAAGAATAGGAGAATGAAGAAGAGGAGGAGGAGGAGAATGAAGAGGAGGAGGATGAAAAGAAGGAGGAAGAGGAGGAGGAGGAGGAAGGTGATGAGGAGAAGGAGAAGGAGAAGAAGAGGGAGAAGGGGGAGGAAGAGGAGGATGAAAAGAGGATGAAAAGGAGGAAGAGGAATGGAGGAGGAAGAGGAGGAAGAGGAGAATGATGATGATGATGAAGAGGGGGAGGAGCAGCAGGAGGAGGAGGAGGAGGAGGAGGAGGAGGAGGAGGAGGAGGAGGAGGAGGGAGGAGGAGGAGGAGGAGGAGGAGGAGGAGGAGAGGAGGAGGAGGCGGAGGAGGAGGAGGGGGAGGAGATATGGGAGGACAAAGACGAAGGAGGAGGAAGGAGGAAGGAGGGAGAAGGAGGGGGAGGAGAAGAAAAAGACTATCAAGAACAAAAGGAAAAGAATGGAAACAAATACAGAAGAGGAAGAACTGGAAAAAAAAAACTGATGTGGATAAGAATAGACAGATTACATGCTTGTTATTTGTTATCTAACTGTCAAACTGATTCAAAGGTATTTCAGTAGACTTAATACCTGCTCTACTACACACACCTAAAA